TTTATTTTCTTCTTTTAGATTAAACCAGGCAAGCGTTTGACCATGATCTTTCTTAATGGGAAGCGACGATGTGGCTGAAACTGTAACACGCTTGCTTGTTCACTTTCATTTAAAAGAAAACAAAAACATAGGTGCGTGGCCCGGCAGGAAATATTATTTCTGAAATTCGGCCCGCCTGCTGAAAAGGTTGGCCATCCCTGACATGCACCTTAATAAAAGGTTTTCTCGTCGATATATCTAAGCATGTCGATTTTGATTGAAACTTTATCACGAGAACCACTGTGTATACAAACATTATAACTATTAACCGTGAAGCCTTTCAGATGTATTGACACATCTGTTTGAACTTAATGTTTCTGATACGCATGTCAGCTAAAAACTTTTACAATGGCTAAACCTTTAGTGAGCTGGTTGCTGATTAGAAAGTGTTTTTCAGTCTTTTCCACCGATTCGTGGACAATGGTTATTTATTTTGGCCATAAATCTCATAACCCCCTTTAAAATACGTCACAGTCACACACAAAAATGTTTTAAAATCAACCGCTAATGAAAGTTTAAACTATCAATCCACTGTCACAACTGACCAGTGCTTTACGTGGCATAATGACACAACTGACCAGTGCTTTACGTGGCATAATGACACAACTGACCAGTGCTTTACGTGGCATAATGACACAACTGACCAGTGCTTTACGTGGCATAATGACACAACTGACCAGTGCTTTACGTGGCATAATGACACAACTGACCAGTGCTTTACGTGGCATAATGACACAACTGACCAGTGCTTTACGTGGCATAATGACACAACTGACCAGTGCTTTACGTGGCATAATGACACAACTGACCAGTGCTTTACGTGGCATAATGACACAACTGACCAGTGCTTTACGTGGCATAATGACACAACTGACCAGTGCTTTACGTGGCATAATGACACAACTGACCAGTGCTTTACGTGGCATAATGATAATCGTAGCTACCGGACAAAAGTACATCAGGCGAAGGAGGAGTCGACACTGACGTTCAGGGATTGTTATGTTAATACAGGGAAGACGACATATGCCTGCCAAACTAAGTGGCTATCAGGTGCGTTGGGGTAAGGGTGTCACGAATGAATAACGGTTATCAATTATGTAGTTTATTGGTAAATGGGGACTGTCCATTGAGACGCTATGGGTCGTGTTGGGTTAAGGAAATATCTTGATGGATAAAACAACAACATCCACACTAAATAGATGGTAATAAGTAGTCTCTAGTAATGAAGCAATTCAACAGCCGTGTGATAGAATTTGAGGCTTAATTGTCGCATCACGAGGGCAAGAGGTTTGTCAACAACTCGGGAGTTGACCGGTTGAGACGATTCGAATGAGCAGAGTTGAGCCGAGTAGAAAGAATCACGTTAAGGAAGGAGACGTGGACGTATAGTTAGATAGCATTGAGGTAGTCGACAGGGATAGAGCTAGAGTGAGTACTACAGAAGAATTGCTTATACTAGTAATATATATATATATATATATATATATATATATATATATATATATATATATATATATATAATATACACACATAAAAGAATGAGCTAAGCTGTCTGTTGTGCCAAAGAGAAGAAAAGATTTAAATACGTTCGTATTCTTAGACTTAGAAACAATGATAGTTATTATTATTTTTTTTATTCTACGAAAAACGAATGAATTTAAATGTGCAAAAAAAAAAAAAAAAATGTGTTAGTTATTTTAGTGTGTTTTTAG